ACATCACAGACCTGAGCTCCAGATACAAACATTGCAGAGCTCTGCAGGTCCAGACCTCCAGATGCTTCTGTTGCGCTATAATGCGATTACTCTGCAAAAGTCAGTACAGTACTCTTGAAATAGCTTGCAGACAGATTTGATGGACAAAATGTACTCTGTTCAAGGATGAAATGGCACATCTGGCAATCTCACATCATGACAATAGTCAATAGCTTAACCATGTTCACTGTGGGACAAACAACTTTTACAATGTCTGTGTGTGTCATAAGTGTCTGTAGCGAGTTTCAGAGGATGACAGTGGGAAAGCACTGTGTTTTCATTTTTTCCTGAACTAAAATCAAAACCAGCAGTAAAGAATAGTGGGTTGTCTTGGTTTTGCGCTCTGACAGCCTTTGGAATTTCAGTCATGTCTAGGTAGCAAACTACTAAGGAACAGATATACAAAAAGAAAACATCAATTATCTGACAGCTTTAACCATTATGAGATTGCAGGGGAGCAGGGAATAGGGAAGCCCCTATCCCAGCAAGCAACAGGTGCAAGGAAGGATACACACTCTGTATATCAGGCCATCTGAAGGCACACACAGACATACAGACACACACACTCACACCAAAGCCAATTTTCCCAGAAGCCAATTACCCACGTTTCTGGACTGTGGGAGGAAACTGGAGCACCTGGAGGAAACCCATGTGAACACAGGGAGAACATGCAAACTCCATGCAGATAGCACCTCAGGTCTGGAATCAAACCTAGGGCCACAACACTGCAAGGCAGCAATACTAACTACTGCACCACCCTGCTGCCCTACAAAAGACATTGGCCTTTATTACTATGTAGACATTTTTTTTTCAAAAGGTTCAAGATTTTCAGCATTTACACAGAATATTTTCAAGTTCTTTTCAATACTGTTCTAAATTTGCGAGGATTAATTTAATTTATTTTAATGTACTCATACAGCACCGACAACTAGTTACTGTAGGGATCTTTTTTCCATCCATTTGAATTGTTAGCTTCCCTCCCAATCACAGTATTTCCACCCTCTGTGTGTGCTACTGAAGAGAAAGTAGAACACACAAAAAAAAGAGCAAAGAAAAGTGAATACTGCCTAATTTATCTTGTATATCAGGGCAGAAACAAATGTGAATTTCAGCCTTTTTCTTTTCTTCTCACATCCATGAATGAAAAAAAAATCTTCTAGTTGACCTGTACATAAGGTCAAACACTTACATAGCATCTAAGCCAAACAGAAATGTGTACCCCTGAACAACTGATTTGTATCTTTGAACACAAACATGTGCCAAGTCTCAGCAACAGACCTCTCTCAGTAATCTGGCAAGCACTTCCAGTCTCACTCCTCAAGTATCTTATTACCTTATAAGGACTCTCATAGTTGTACTCCAGGGTTATAGGCCTGTACTAGCCTAAAATTTGCTCATTCCTCTGAACCTTCATAATACCATCTACAGGAATTTCCCAGTCCTAGTCCTCGATTACCTCTGTTTACAGTATTCTAGTATTTCACGCTATGTGAGCTCTTAATTAATCTTATTAATCTTAAGTGTTTTTTTTACTGTTTTCTGCACTGAGGATTTGGTCACACATACAGTATAATTGGTAAGAAATACAAGGAACTCTGTTTCAAGGTTTTTCAAAATTGTTTAAAAATGTTTAAAATTTTACAACAACTTTCTGGAACAGTGCAGGCAAGTTCTAACCCTGTTCTAACTGTTACTATACAGTGCACTGATTGGAGCATATAAAACAATATCAATTTCAATTTCAATGTAATTGTTCCGAGAAAGGAGTAATGTTACTCTTTTCAATAACAGTACTATTAAGATAATGTGAACTATGATAAGTAGAAGTGTTGTGAATCTTCTGATATTTTTATTGTGCTTATCTGATTTATCGTATACTGCACAGATGTCAATTTTCAAAAAGACCTAGAGCATACACATACAGTAAGTACTGCTTCAGAGTAAAACCACAATGCACCTGGTAACACAGGAACAGGATTGCTCACACTGATGGCACAGTCCTACATAATATTAATTGCTTACACTTACTTTTCTGGACACCCCACTCAAAGCGCTTTATAGGTAATGGGGACTCCCCTCCACCACCACCAATGTGCAGCATCCACCAGTCATGGTGCACCAGTATGCTCACCACACATCAGCTCTCAGTGGGGAGGAGAACAGAGTGATGAAACCAGTTCATAGATGGGGATTATTAGGAGGCCATGATTGGTAGAGGCCAATGGGAAATTTGGCCAGGATACCAGGGTAACACCACTACTCTTTTCAAGAAACCCCCTGGGATTTTAAATAACCACAGAAAGTCAGAACCTCAGTTTTAGGTCTCATCTGAAGGACAGCGCCTTTTAACAGTACAGTGTCCCCGTCACTTTACTGGGCCATTAGGACCCACACAGACCACGGGGTGAGCGGCTCTTACTGGCCCAAATACACCTCTTTCAGCCGCAACTTGGAAAACCCGCAAGTTTTTCCCTGGAGGTCTCCCATCCCTGTACTGGCCAGGCTCACACCTGCTGTGCTTCAGTGGGCTGGCAGCTGTGAGTTGCGGGGCGATATGGCTGCTGGCAATGTAGTGCATAATACTTGAGAGCAAACACAAAAGAGTGTGTTTCTATGAGCAGTTCTATGAGGTCCGTTTGAAAATTAAGTTCTGAAACACACAATAGCTGTATGCTTCACAGGCAAAACTAAAACCTCATGTCATAATTCTGAATCATAATGAGGGACACATGACAATTATACAGCTGTCACTTGAGGGGAAAGAGGGCACCACAGTAGAAGATAGCAACATGCCCACAAATCCATTATTCAGGATGTTGTCAAACGGGGTACTGGATGTGGAGAAATAATTTTAAGCAGACTGGGCACAGAAAGAAAACAGATTTTAACATGTTTGCAATGTCTGTCACTAAAATGAAATGAGTGCAGAAACTTTTTTGCTGAGTCTTAAGAAAGACAGGCGTCACTGTTGTATGTCTGGCTTAAGCACAGAGAAAAAAAAAGCATTCTGCTGACTTAATAATACCAAGATTCTGCTTGGTGAATATAATGAGCACCACCCAAAGCACATCAGCAGCACAGTTCATACAGAGGAAAATTGAAAAATTCAGGACAAGGAACTGACACATTTGAACGTATAAACAATGTTGGTTTCATTGAGGAATGGAGAAGACCTCATCTTGAGTTTAGAAAGACCTTTAACATGCTGTAAGTGAAGCCAATAGCAAACATGCCAAATATTATGAGTCAATGTTCTTGTTCTTGCATGATACCAGGATTAGCAATTCTGTTTATTTAAAAATATTATATTCAGATGTCAGTTGCACTGTATTATATCATATTGTAGCCGTATGTGGGAAGTTGAATATTCTTTGTCATTGATTATAAAGTATGTTAGCATTCTTTACGGAATAATAAAGAATTCAAATTCCACGTTTTTGCGCCTGGCAAAATGAGCTATTATTTATCTGGTTATATCAGGTTCTATCACACCTTTCATTTCTCACTCTTGTCACCTTAAATCTATCTGGAGGAAAACTGAAAAAGGAAAAAGCAAAGGCTAGTCTCAGTCTTAAGTTCATCAAAACATTATGACCATTAGGCATAATTTGTTTGTTTCAACCGTTGGATTTCCATTGACCACATCAGATGTTGTCTATTGACGTCAACCACAGGTCTTGGATACATTTCAAGCGGTTGCGTGACATTACACATCCATCACAATGGACAGTGATTCATCCATGTGGAGAATCTGGAACTTCTGTCCCAAGCATTTTCCTCCTGACTGTTTGGAGAAGACCTGCCAAAACAAGTATAATTATGTTCAAGTTTGACAAAAAAACATCCTTGTTTCCAACACAGAAATACTCACTCACTCACACACACACACACACACACACACACACACACACACACAGCACTTACCATTAACCTTTGTGTCTTTCCAAAATGATGATAGTTTGGTTCTTACTTTTGGTAAAACCTGAAGAAAATGTGGCTTCAGTCTTGGCTCGGTTTTGAGTATACATGATAAATTGTTACACGTCACCGGTGCTACAGCATGCTGTATTTTTTACATAATTGCTCTACATGTTTCATAGTTATTACATTTAACATCACTTTTCTTAAGCTTCCACTGTACTTGTACCTGTAATTTTGAATACTTGCAGCAAGGCAGGATAATGTCCTATTTTAGAAGTCAGGTTCTTCCTTATACAGTGCATAACCATTGATTTTCTCTTTGATAGACCACAGTGTTTGAAGTCCATGCCTTGTATACCAAAAGATTCTGAGTATTTCAGTTTTAATTTTTCAAAAGAATTGTGCTCTTTTTTCCTAAATTGAGCTGATTCAGAATTCATCCTTGTAAGATTTAGAGCTGAGTCTGAGCAAGTCTGCAAAGTACCATCCCTACAGCTTGAAAATGCTTTTCTACTGATGTCATTGCTAGTCATGACTACCACTAATAATACTGCTATCAGCAATAAAAGAGGATTATAACAAAAGCAAGGAAGATTGATGGAATTAAGGAAACATGAGAAAAAAGAAGAAATTAAGAGGATGAGTAATGATTGGCATGGAATCTGATTTCAACTTTAAATTTTCATGTTTCACAGGTTACAATGTATACAGTATGTGGTTTAAAACAAACTAAATTGAAAGAATATTCAAACTTTAGTGGTGAATGTAATCCTAAGCTGTAAACAGCAAAAATCATGCACATTTAATATACCATTTCAGCAGCAAGGTACAAAAACCTAGATAATGCAGAATTAAAACAGATTGAAAGCAGATACCTTTAAAGTACTGAAATACTGCCATTGTGAATGTTTCTGAACAATTTGTACTCAT